GGTGGTGCGGCTGAGGTGGGCCCCCCGGCGAGCTCACCAGGGGGCCAGCTGTCGCCATCCATTGCTGATGGTGGCAGCGGGGGTGCGGGAATGAACGGCGGGGTGGACGCAGTTCCAGGGTAGTAGGGCAGGGCCAGGGTGGGGGGTGGGGGAAGAGGGATTTCACCCCACCCATTGGCGAACGATTTGTCTGACTATGTAGCTGGCGGCGTGGCACACAGCACGGAGGACAGAAAGAGGAGCTGAGAGGAGGTGGGTCCGCCGTGGGTCACGGTGTTGGGTTGTTTCCCACCAGTGGTTTTTGTGTATGCGCCTGTTGTTTCCCCCTGTGCGTGAATTTGCTCTCTCTTTTCCAAAGGCGACAATTGATGCGTTCGCTCATGGTATGTGGTGTTTGCTGTCTTTTGCTTGCCAAGTGGCAAGAGGACAGAGGAAACAAGTGAATGTTTCTGTGTGTGTGTGTGTGTCTGTGAAGTGAATGTTTCTGTGTGTGTGTGTGTGTCTGTGTGGGCAATGGTTGCTTGCTCCTTACTGTATAGATCGGTGTCTGTCTGTCCGTGCACTCATTGTCCATCCACGGGTAGATGGGTGTTAATGGCCGGGCGGGACACATAGACGCGGACCCCTTACCTTGCTGTCTGCCTGCCTGCCTGCCTTGCCCATTCATTGCTCTCTTTTCCCCTTATCTAAGCCCACCGAAGCGAAAAGCTTAACGGCAACAACCAAATCGAACCAAATCAAATCTCTCCCACCAAAACACGGCAAACAAAAAGCCCGACGGCAAACAAAAGAAAAAACCCACAGCTGCTCACATGGCCATACTCCTCTCTGCTCTGTCGAGGGCCTCTCTGCCTATCTATCCCTGGTTCTGCCGTCCCTGTAAGCGGACCGGCGTCTGTCCATGCCCACCATACCAGCAGTGCCCTTGTAGGCATCAAACACCGACGCGGCATCAAACACGGGGTCACCAGTCGCACCAGCACCACCAGCAGGATGTGGGCCGTTGTGCATGGGTGTGGCGTCAGGAGGTTCTTGAAGGTCTTGGTGGGCGGTGGGGGCGGCTTCAATGGCCTGCACGTCACCTTCACCACACCACACAGGGCAATGTCAGGTCAGGATGTGGGCAGGGTGGGGTGCCTGCCGTGTAGTGGACAGGTGTCTTTGTCGTGTGTGCCGACCGGCCTTCTTTGGAGGAGTGGTTGGCATGCACTTCGGGCAGACGTTGACCGACTTGAACCGGGCGGCGAAGTCGTCAAAGCTGATCCAGAAGATGCCGTCCTCCTCGTCGCGCCACAAATGCTTCACCATGGATGGATGGAGTGATGGCACACGTCCAACCACACACACACACACGTGCACATGGCCACATCCATTGCCCGCACCAACCTCTTTGATCTGGGGGTGCTCGTCCCACGTTGGCGATTTGTCGCCCCAATCGCCATTCCACCTGACACACACACACACACACACAGCGATCGAAGCACGCCATCCATCTGCACACTTTTCTCTACTTTCACCGACTTGGCTTACTCGTGTCCTTTCCCCCATGGATTGCGCAGCTGCAGCAGCTTGAGGTCGTGGCCACCCTCAGTCAGGTGCAGCACTGACAGCAGCGAATAGGCGTGGCGCTCAACCAGCCCGTCGGCGCGCTTCTTCTCCATCACATCGCCCGGGATGGCCGCAGACATCAGGTAGTTGTTCTGAATCACACCCACACACCCACACACCAGCAATGCAGTTCAATGAATGTGTTTTGACTGCTGGTCTCCCTGGCCACCTTGTCGAACTGTGCGAGGGTGTCGAAGAACTGCTCGGGTGTCTTGGTCTGGCCGGTCTCGACGGTGAATAGGCGGCTGAGCTGTCGCGGGTTCTCCTTGAGCCAGTCGAGGTCCACCTGATGCTCCTTCCAGACGCCGTCCTCGCCACACTTCCACACATACTGACACACAAACAAAGAGCGTTTTGATTGATTGATGGATGGATGGATGGACGATATCGTCTGTCTGTTTGCTTCTGCGTAGGTACCTGTTTGACCTCGCCCGTCATGCACTGCCAGGCATACGGCGTGAAGCCACCTGCAGCCATCCATCCGTCCATGGACTCCTCCCCCCCCACCGCCCAAGCTGCCTCGTGTGGTGTGGGTACCTGAGAGTTTGCCATAGCCCCCGCAGAACTTGGCGAAGGCCTTCTCCAGCAGCAGGCACCACAACTCATTGCCCGCCGGCTGTGCGAAGAGTGGCTTGCCGCCCTTCTGCCACCACTTTTTGACCTCACAGGGGATGTGGTCGTCGAACGTCATGTCCACCCACTCGCCGCTGCTCACGTCAAACAGCCGCACCGTATACTGGCCAGCAGGATTGTACTCCTTCGTCACGAAGAGGTCCTCGACGCAGCCGGGGAATTCGGCCACCGACGCGAAGGCCGCGAGCAGCCAGCAGTCGCCCAGAGACCTGATCAGCCAACACACACACACACACACTCACACACACATCGAAGCAACGTGGCTGCTGTCTGAACGCGCCCACGCACCCTTGCAAAAGGTCGGAGGGTTCGATGGTGTCGAAGAGTTTTGCTGCCTGAGCGGTGACTGAGAGCTTGGAGCCGCGGATCCACTGGACGTCCTTCACCTCCACCGAACCCAGTGACGCGAACGTGGGCGGGAACTCGTTGTCCTCGAACTTGGGGATGGCCACACCATGCTCGTCTGCACGTCACACAGCAGACAACAGGCCGTCCACCGTGTGTTGTGGCCCCCCCTCTCTTTCTTAGGTCAGCTACCTGGTTCGGTGATGTCGATGGTCGCGCCGTCCTCTAGTTCGCCGGCAGGTATGGCGTGGCCGCCCGCTACCGCCTCCCATATCAGCCCACCATCGGGGCGACGGACACGCCTGTGCAGATGTACCCACCCGCACACACACACACACAGAGAGAGAGAGAGAGAGCGGCACTGGGCGCAGTGCAAAGTGGAAGATGGCAAAGCTAGAAGAGCTCCTAGCATACCATGCGTGGCCTTTGAATGAGTCAAACTTGAGGGACTCGCCGACCGGGATCTCCTGTTTGAGCTCCTCCTCGCCGTCCTGGTCGATCCACATCAGGTGAATGGGGAACTCGCACCTGGACACAACACAACACATACGCTCACACAGACTTAGTTGCACTACACAGACCACATTGATCAGATCAGATCTGATCAGTGTGTGTCAGTGACGCACACACTTGTTGTTGATGGTGGCCTTGAAGATCTTGACCTCGCCGGACGATGAGACGATATCCGTGGGCTTCAGATCTGTGCACACACACCCAGAGAGACCGTCCCACCCTACCAACCACCAGACCCCCCTCCCTCCCTCCGTCACCGTTGTCGATGCCCTCATCGAACGCCTCCACTTTCACATCAGGGTCGTCTTCATTCTCCGTGCCGTTAAACACGCTCCACACCACGTTGATGGCGTCGGGCGACGCGGCGTCCATGTCAGCCACACTGGCGAAGAAGGAGTTGGTGCCAACCTCGCCGGGGCCGATCTTCCACTTGCCATTTGAGAAGAACAGGTAGAGGTCCTGACACACACAGACAGAGGCAGTTTGCGGGGGG